TCGTGTATTTTCGTGTAATTAAATCACGGATTAGAATTCTGCTCGACCGAAACGCTCGAAAATAATTAAAAATTCACGCGAATTCGGTATTCAGAGAAGTTTTTATTTTTCACCCTTGATCGCTCCGGAAAGCTACGCGGAAAGCAACGTAGAAGTGGTTGGACTAACTAAATTTCTAGTGAAATGTGGACGAGCCAAAAATTCCGACTAAAGTTATCAGAATTCTGTTCGAGTCAACAAGATCTCTGGTTAACAAAACTATTTGTTTCGTTCGTACTTCACTGGAAACTTGGTTAATTCAATCAAACATTTTCCGTGTACGAAACACCTTCGATGATCTACTCGAAGCACACGAATCGACTTCTCCCTGTGTAGAATTCGTCGTTGAGAGACGACACGATAGAAGCGGGACAATCTGTATACAAATCGGTGGTACGCGACGATTGATCGAGAGGGAAAAACAGCTGTGCGGCGCGAGCGTGTTTGTGCAGGCCGGAGAAATTCGACTTTCTGCGGCTGTGATTCAAAATGACCGCGCGGTGAGAGAAAGCAGGATAATAATTCACAATCATTCGTCGTGTCGTATTCCGCGTCGCGGTAAAATGGACGAATCTGGCGTGTAAATTTCGCGGTGTAAAAGTAACCCATCTTCCTCATCCTCTTTCTCTCTCCCTCGCGCGCGTAGCCGGGGAAACTTTGTCCATAAATTTTCCCGTAAAAAGCCAGGTTCTCGCGGAACTCCACCATCGGACGATAACCGGCTGAGAATCCCATGCGGAACGTAGTAAGATCACCCGGCGTTTTACAAAGATTCGATCGTAACTGTGACGCGAATTCCTCCTATTATACGAACGGTTCGCGTGTCCCGCAAATTAAGTCCGATAAATGCGACTCTCCGCCACACATAGACACACATACACGTTTCATATCGCCTTTGTTATCATTAAGTATTATTGTACGTTTAACTCCGCGAGAGAAAGAGAGGAACTAAAGAGTGCCGTCGCGGAGCACACGCGACCAAGAAAATAATATTTTCATTCGTCGAGATTCATACACACACGCTGAGCGAGTCCAGTTCGTCGGTTTTTTATCGAACACGTCTGTCAATCGAGAAGAGACTCGAGTCGAGCCTAGGAGACTTCCCCCGGCTTACAAATATTTATATCACCCATTTGCTCCGAAGATCACAGTGCCTGTAATCGATCGTTCTCACACACGGCTGTGCATAAACATCCACGATAATTTTAACATACGTCCACGTGGAGAGACATTCCGTTTCTCGGCCTCAAAACGCGACTTCTCTGATTTCTTCCAAACTCTCTACACCACTCGCCTCTAATTGGATTTTCTATTTCTAGCTCTCTCTCTCTTTCTTTCTCTCTCTCTCTCTCCTCCAACTTAGGGAACTATCGATTTGGAGCGACGCTCTCTGCGAAAAAGTATCGATCACCGGCGAAAAGTTGATACGCCTAATCCAATCGTGCTGTAATCGCGTGAAAAATGTATTTACGGATACAATACGAACGTTAATATCCAAGCTTACGACACGACGGCCGATGCTGCGCAATTTTTTTAGTGCCACCGGTATAAGCGCGGCCCTTTTCGGCCCAAGCGCGTCGATAGCAACGGTATATACGGTGGTGTGTGTGTGTTGTACGCCTTACGTAAGCGAATTCGTACACCAAGCCGTTTTCGGGAGAACAGCTGGAACCGTATTCGCCAATTTTCCACTGACTTGTGATTAATAATCTTAATTTCTAACCACGCTCATATCGTTAAGGGGAGCAAATCCGCGGCGCGCTTTACACGCGGAATCCGGGGCGAAAGAGAAGCTACTCTGAAGTAGTACAAGTGAGCCAAGATTACTACACGCGGTCGATTCGAAGCGATTCACTCTATATAACCTCGATTAAACGCTACAAACGTAACGATTAAATCCACTGTCTCTCTCTCTTTCTTTCTCTGTCTTTCTCTTTCTTTCTCTGTCTCTCTCTCTCTCTCTCTCTCTCTCTCTCTCTCTCTCTCTCTCTCTCTCTCTCT